CATACTCTCACACATTTATTTTTTGACTATCAACAAACTTTCCTAATCAATAACTGTTTTTATTAGAAATATAATAATTCAAGTTTTTATGATAAAATAATAATAAATTAATATCTAATTAAAAAATAGGGTAAAAAATATGGACTTCCCCTAAGTTTTGACAATATTATGCGGACACCCTCAAATATTTTATAAATAACACGGAGATCCCTAGAGTTTAAAATTTATTACACAGAAGGTTCCTATGTCTCCCTTCCTTCAATATTGCTAACGAAAAGTAATGACTTTATCTCCAAAAAAAATTATTATTTTTATACTTGTCTTTCTCCAACTTTAGTACCCAAAAAAATTAAAAATTTAATAAAATAATATAAGATTTGATTTAGTACCAAAAAAATTGATTAAATAAATTTTAATATTATTTTGATAACAATAAAAATCAATTTGATATTAATTCGACTAAGTTCAATTTAAATTGGACAAAATTAAATCTCAATTTTTGATAAAAATATATATTAATTTACAATTTAAGGTTCATTTTGTGTTGAATATTATTTGTTGTTGATTAAACCAACATGAAATTGATCTTAAATTATAATTTTTTTTGTTGTATATAAACTTAAAAATTTGTATTTTAACCTATAAAATTTAAATACAGATTTTTTCACACCATAACATATTTTCTCTTACTATATCATTTAGTAAATTTTATTTTGGTCAAGATTCAACCACACATATTTAAACCAAACCAATTGTTCACCCCCACTTTTTTTTTAAGAGAATTGCTCACCTCCGCTTGTTAAACTCAAAAATATCTGGTTCACATAAAAATAAGTGAAAGTAAATTAAAAAGCTGACAAAACATTTTGAAAAATTGATAATTCAAAAAAATTTAGTACCAAAATTATAACAGATACATCAAACATTAAAAAAAACTAAAAATATAATTTATATAAAAACCATTATCAATGAGAATTTTAGAAGAACTTAGACCCTGAATCAATTAAGACCTAATTTCAGGCAACGATGTGAAACTCAGATAAAAAAGTCCTCAAATCATGAAGTGCTATTTTTTATTTACATTAACTATTATTTACAAATTAAGAACCAAGTGACAAAATATATGTTGCCAGATATATAAAATTTTGAATTAATTTTATGGAATAAATATTGCATAACATGTAGTTTCATGTGTTTTGTGGAGTAAATAATAAAAAAATAACACTTAAAAAAAACAAAAAAAAATAAGATAATAATATGTGAGAGAGAGAGAGAGAGACAAAGAGAGAGAGAGAGAGAAAAAAAAAGTATAAGATAGATATAAAGAGAGTTAGATGAGCGATAGGAGTCTTGAAAAAAGTTGACATGAGAACCGTCAGATCAATAATTGTCAAGTGATCTGAGCTGTGAAAAGTTAAAGATAAAGAAATCTAACTACTTTATTATATAGATATACATGTCATTGCCCGTGTCTGAAAACATTATACGACAAACAAATAAAATCTTAAATAATTATCCAAATTTAAAAGGAATGATTTAAAAATATTCATACTAATTCTTTTTTTAAAATGACTCAAAATATATTTTCGGCCATATCTTTCGTATTAATGACATTGTCATAAAAATATACAAAAACTCTCAAAAATAATATCAACACCATATATACAAATTTCTCTAGGAAAAAAAATACTAACATAATCCCATTAAAAGTTATAATTTTTAAGCAATAAATAAAATCTTACTAATTTATAAAACTCATGAATTTATCACTTTTATTACCACTCAATCCAATAATACATCATAATTAAAAACTCGACCATTATATTTCTAATCCACCCTATCCCCATGTAATAAATACCTCAAGCAAAAAAAAAAAATGCTAATAGTACAATTAAATTCACAATCTTTAAGCGATAAATAAAATCAATCAAATCTTACTCATTTATAAAATTTATGAATTTATTACTATTATCTCTATTCAACCCTAAATGACACAATATTATTACAAATTTAATCACTAAATGTCCAATTCTCCACATATAAATATACACAAAAAAACACTCACATACATTTCCTTTTTGGTTACAAAAAAACCCTCCTAACCAATAAATACTCAAGTTTTTAAGAAATAATAATAATAAATTAATGTTTAATTAAAAAAGGGAAAAAAAAATCGTGGACATTCCTTGAGTTTTGACAATATTACATGGACAGCTTCCAATATTTTATAAATAACACGGAGACCCATTGAAGTTTGAATTCATTGCCTATAGACCAATTTGTCTCCCTTTTGTCAATGTTGGTAATGAAAATTGATAATTTTATCCAATTTTTTTTTTTATTTTTACAATTGCCCTTCTCTAAATTTAGTATCAAAAAAATTTAAAATTTAATAAAATCAAATAAAATTTAATTTAGTACCCAAAAAATTGATTAAATGAATTTTAATATTAATTTGGTAATAATAAAAATTAATTTGATATTAATTCGACAAAGTTTAATATAAATTGAAAAAAATTAAATGTTAATTTTATATAAAATTATATATTGATTTACAATCTAAGGTTCATTTCATGTTGAATATTATTTAGTGTTTATAATCAATGTGCTATTTTGTTTAAATTATATTGGGTGTTATTTACAAATTAAGATGTAAGTGACAAATTACATGTTGTTATATATATAAAAACTTTGAATTAGTTTTATAGAATAAATAATTTTATAAGATATAATTTCAACTATTTTATAGAGTAAATAATAACAAAAATAACACCGAAGAAATAAAAAAAAATAATAGTATGAGAGAGAGAGAGAGAATTATGTGAGAGTTGAGAGTCTTAGAGTTATGCAAAGAATGAAAGACTAATTAGGACCATCAAATCAAAACAATCTGAGCCGCGAAAAGTTCAAGAGAAATAATCTAACTATTTTATTATATAGATAATACCTAAATAACACATATTATATATTTAATGCTTAAATAAGAACTTGGGTTGAACCTGATTTTTAGTAATTCGATCTGGGCTTGAATTATACTCGTGAACCCACAACCTCAATTCCAGCTTAGCTCGAATTCAGTTTGGTTGAGGATTTTTGGTCCAAGTTCAGTCTAAGTTTTAAAAAACTCAACCCAAATATTAAAAATAGTATTTGGATTGAGTTCAGGTTAACCCACTCAAGTTGTACCCCTAGTTCAAAATCAATCAACTGTTCAAGCTTTGCTCGAATTCAGTCAATGAGCTTAAATTGTTTTTCAAGAAAATAACGCAATTGCATAAGAAAACCCTAAATCTACAATCTAAAAGTTAAAAGTCATATCCACAATACCTAAATACACCAATTTCACATAAAATTCATACAAACCTGCATATAAATAAAAAGGAAAAATTCTTTTAACCCCATGTGGTTAGGTTATTGTTCACATCACCCCCTTGTTATTTTAAAATATACAATAACCCTTTATGTTATTGGACTAAAATGCAACTGTTACAAATTTCGTAAATTTGGACGGATTTTGTGATACATGTGCTCAACTCGATAGTAAATAAATTTTTTTTTGGTCAAAATCAATCTATAAAATGACAAATATGCCCTTGAAATTTTAAAAAATAAAAAATACCCTCCACTCACATTCCCCACCCTCTTGTGTGTGTATATATATACGCGCGTGCACACACACACATACACATATCATCAATTGCATCTAGATTTGAAATTCAATTTTTATTTCTCATATTTCAATTTTATTTGATTTTCATTTAAGTACAATTTTCTTTTATTTTATTTTCCATATTGCATTTTTATTGATATTCCATATATCATTTTTATTGAGTTATCGAGTGGAGGTCGTGATTGGTACCGACGGTGAGGGTGGCAGGCGTTTACCAGCGGTTGAAGTGAATAAGAACGAAAAGAAGAGATGATATTAAGGGTAAAAATGTAATTTTTGCAACTATTGTCAATAGTGTTTTTTTGGGCAAGTCAATTTAATTTTTGGGTAACAGTGTTAACGGATCATTTTAGTCCAATAACATACGGGGTGATGTATATATTTTGAAACAAGGGGGTGATGTGTACAATAGCCTAACCACAGGGGGTTAAAAGAATTTTGCCCCAACGGAAGTTACGAATCTGTGTATTTGCTCAGTGCCTTGCTACTATTAGAAAGATCATGACCAGAACAAATTATAGTGTTGTTATACACAATCTCCAAAAACAGACTTCGGAGGCATTCTGCGAGATGGTAAAGAGGACAATGACTGTCAGGATTCTATGGACTTTTTTTTCAACTACACTACCGGCATTAAGGCTGAATTTTGGGCAATCTACAGGGGACTATTGCTGATATTAGAGAAATGCATCACCAGAGGTCCAGAGCCATCGTAGAAACTGATTCGTTGTAAGCATACAAACCTCCTTAATAGCAAAGAGGAAACATATCCCAGCAGAGCATTTTTGCTAAATTGCAAGGACCTACTCAGCAGCTTTAGGAGAATAGTCATGCACTGCACACCCCTTAGGGAAGGAAACCATTGTGCACACTCGTTGGCCAACTTCGGTATTATTCAGGATGAAAAGGTGGTCAAAACATGCTTGCCTTCATATATGCGAAAAGGGTCCACTATAGAGACTTTTGTGAAAATACCCTGGTCAGTATCGTCATCAAGTTGACCCCACATTTCAAATTGATTATGAATCTATTGTGCGATAAAACACAGTTCTTGGGCATGTCCAAATATACATAGGTAAAGAGGACAGATCAATGCCGTCACTTGCTTATAATTCTCAAGTCTGTCCAATGCAGTATCTGAGTGCGATTGCATGGTTCCAAATAAAGAAAGTAAAGCACATATAAACATGTAGCTCAAATACCTAATAACACAAGTTTCGAGCGTCAGAACTAGACAATAAATCTAGAAAAAGGGAAAACAAAGGGATAAATCAGGGAATGCATGCAACAACAAACTATTCCTTTGTAAAAGTGCATGTGTCACCAAATATCAGGTTGAAGCCTCCCCTGCCAAGCGTAATCTCTTGGGACATTTCTCTTCGTCTTGGCTGGGGGCACTGGCCACCCTGATCTCCTTGGCCTCCATTGAGCACCTTTTGTAAGGTTTAAATCCTGTTCGACAGGCCTTGAGCTTCCCATGCCCAAGCCCCATTGTCAGTAGCCCCACTTCCCCCTCCTCTTTCTCTCTAAAGAATGTACTCTTCTCTACTACTTGATGACTGGTAGAAATTCCCCATGTTTTGCGGTTGAGGTCCAACTTTGATGCATCTTTGTCTTTCTCATTTGCCTCGTTCTGGTGCTCCTTATTTTTCAGAGCATGTGGAGGAGAAAAGCTTTGTGGCAATACTTCTCTGGAGAACAGAGCCTTAAAAGCCAGCCGCCCCTGCATCCAAAATAACACGAGTAGCAATGAATGTAATAGCAATATAATCATCAAGACTTCAATCATAAACTAAATATCAATTACCTCTTGGGAAACCTCCTTCCAGGAATCATTTGTGTTGCTGCAGCTTTTACCACGTCGATTACCGGAGTCACCAATTGGATGACTTATATCAAGTTCTTTTGACTGTTCCTTATGTTTCCCATGCTCGTCTAAAGCATCTGTCTCTATTTCACTGCTAGAAGGTGTGTTTGAACCACATGAAGAACGGCCCACCTGTATTCTGCTCTTCATCATGTTTGAATCATGAAGCTCAGTTGTCGTTGCAGCTTGCTCAGTATCAGCAGCAGTAAATCCAGTATGTGGCTTTGCATCTTCACTCTCCTCAGAGTCTGATAATGACATTGGTAATTTAGAAGCTGAATATTCTTGCAAAGCTTCATTGTATACTGGGTCCAAATGTGAACCTTGCAAGGCAGGATCAGAAGTGTCCTCCCTTCTTTTGATGTTGGCTGCTCTAGCTTGACTCTTGTCCATTTGTCTTTCACATGCAGTAGCAGATGGAGGAGTGCAGGCAAAGCCAGGGTGAAAGGGAGGGCACAAAGGAAGCAGTCCATGGGCTGCCCACCATGAACTTGCAGCTGCTACTGTAGCCACGGCAATTGCTGCCATACTAGGAGCAGAATTGATCTTCCGTGATGGAAAACCTCCAGCAGCACCTGCAGGAGAATCTGCAGAATTTTCCACATTTGCATAGGGCCAGAATGTAGCTGCAAAACTGGCAGCAGCGTGGGCTGCTGGGTTTTGTAGCAGAGTAGATACAATAAAATTCGAAAACATGGAGGAAATGTGGAGATATGATCGGTAATCATCTTGATTGTTTGGGATTGGGTTGAAAAGCGGATGAAAAGAAGGAAATGATGGATGAATGGGGGATCTAGATGCATTTCTATCATTTTCCGTAGTAGCAGATGCAGCGGGATTTGTGAGTAGGTTGGGCTGTCCATCAACTTTCCTCATTTGTTGGAAAATGGATTCTTGGTGTGACAGATCTTGTGAAACACTTTGAGGACTCATTCCCGGACTCACATCTAGAATGTGCACAGGTACATGTCTTGGATAGTTCTGGATAGCTTGCATGTCAATAGTCGAAAAAGAACTAAAGTTTTCAGGCTGGTTCAGATCATCCATTTTTTTGCCACGAACCAATTTCTCATGTGAGGGGCGAGAGTTTCCCGAGTTTGAGATGGTGCCTGCGTCATTACCCTGAAATGCCTGATTTCCATTGGGTCCAATGGAAAGGTGAGATTCATTTGTTTCATCCTGGTTGATTGCCTCTTTCAAGATTGGCACAAACTCCCTCAAATTGCATAAATTGCTGGGCGCCAAGGGTGGCAAGGAATTTTTATTTGCAGAAGACAGGGAGGTACAGGTTGTTTCTTGGAAAAGGGTAAAAACTTCAGAGCAATTCTCATCCCGGTTTTCTATGGTATTTCCTTGGGTTTCATCATCGCCAGGTTTCTGATGAACAAGAAACAAGAAGACTAATTTCAGAATTAAAGGACAAGAACATAAGAAAAGATAACAGAGAATGCAGGAAGAGAATTAGACATGGTGCTATAAAAAAGTATATGAAAAAAAAGAAAACAGAACCAAGAAGAAAGATGATACATGGAGATATATTACCTTGGAAAGGGGTTCTTTCTCCAAGTCCAGCACATCTTCGTCAGGGCACAAAGAAGAAACTAATGTTGATAGTTTCCCATCCTTTGATTCCACATGTGAAGTAGGAGCTCCTGTACCAGGCTTTCGAGGATATGGATTACTTGGTTTTCTTTTGGGGCGAGGAGGAGGAATTTCTATGTCAAGAGCTTGTCCTGTTGGAACTCCTTTAACAAGAGCCTCCTTCTCCAACTGGAAGAAGTTTATAGAAACAAATTAAGAATTAAATGTTACAGACTAAAATAATTTAAGAAGCAAAAAGCTAATCCAATAGATAAGAGAACTTAGCAAATCTTGGTCTGAAGCATAATATATCACAAAGAAAATCTTAAGGGACTACATGTAGTCTAGGTGGAAACACCAGGAAAATGATATCATATCCTCATCTAGGATTATTGTAAACTTAGGAGGACGGGATGGATACGGACAATGGGTTATCTATGTATACAGCCCTCCCTTTGCAAGACTCAAGACTTTGTTTCGAAACCAGAGGCACAAAAGTAAAATGATCAAAAGAATCCCTATTATTAGAGCATACTCTAATTATAAAATGCTATTAACCCTTTTACAGCTGCACAAAGTTAGCCTCATGATCCAATTATCCTTATAATAGAATGTTAGGTCAGGCATATGGATCAAATCCAGGTGAACCTCTCATGAGGTATCAAGTCATATTGACTACCCTGTTCTAGACACTTTTCAGATTGAGTCCATCACCTGTTCTTATATCAACTACACTGAGTTCTATATAAAGTGTGGTAAGGGATCTGATGGTCATTATAAGTTTAGAAGTGACCTCAATGGTCTGAAAAGCAGACAAAGCAATTTTGTCTCCTTGATACATTAGACAATTTAAAATCCCTCAATAAGGTTTCATCTTACACGTATAAAACCAATTTAAACAATGAAATGTCTCACCCCAATTTTCAACTCTCTTTGTCTGTAAATCCTCTAGCATTCTGCACATAATTGTTTTTTGAGTCATTTTTTCTCATTGTTCTGAAAGACCCAGAGATATCAGACAATTTATTTTCCATGTTGAAATTACAGTATTATGTAGCCAAACAAAATGTTTCGAGAAAACTGGATTGTTCCCAGATATGTTTTGTACTTTTTCTCTTTCACAACTCTAAGTTAGAAAGAGTAACAGTTAAACAAGCTAAATAAAGAAAAAGGAAAGTTCGTCACAAGATGGACCCAGAAGGTGGCAATGACATTTAAGATTGGCCATGTCAATATTTTTTTTGATGGGAACCACGTCAGTATTTTATTCACATGCATATGTTGGAACAGCTAATTAAGTGTCCTATAATTTCTTGATGAGACAGGTTTCTTCTATAATTGAAGGCAGCAAATTGTATTATGAAATACTAGGAATAATGCCAGTGCCAATGAGTAACTTAATTGGTAAAACCCCATGAAAGAACTGATTCAAAAATATTGAAAGGTGAAATTTCCCTGGTCATTACAATAGCTGAAATTACATGAAGAGCATTTATTGTTTACGAATTTTCTTACAATAGCCATCATTGTCAACTAAGAAGCACTTACACAAGACACAAATACAGCATGACAGAAATTACATGAAGAGCATTTATTGTTTTACGAATTTTCTTACAACAGCCATCATTGTCAACCAAGAAGCACTTACACAAGACATAAATACAGCATGACACGAACAAGCTATGACACAACACGAACACACTGAAATGAGGTTTACACAATAGAAGGTTTTTCCACATTGAAGCTCCAGAACCCTTGCCAAATAGCCATAATCTTGTTCCATGGACAAGTTCACTTAGTGCCTAGATTGGCACCGAAGGTAGTACAGTTGCACCCTTGTGCCATCTTACAACCCATTATAACACCTATGTGGAAAAATTTAAGTGACAGAAGAGATATCAAAGTACTCGAGCAATCATAATACTCGTTTGGCAGCTATATGGATAAAAATTCAAGTGATAATAGTAGACATCATCATTGGCCTCGGGCAATCATAACACTCCCTCTAACACAATAATCGGAAACCTTTTTATTTTCCATGTATTTGAGGAAACAAGCATAAATGCTCTCACACTTGGTGGAGCTACTTAAGTTTCCAAAACTTACAGTTGAAGCATAAGCAATTTACCCAGTTTTATACTGTTTGCCCAAAAGAAACCTTTATTATGTGCAACTTTTTTCCCAAAAGACAAGCTTTATAATGTTTGCCCAAAAAAACCCTAATCATCCCCATAATAGAAGCAAAATCCCTAATTATACGAAATTTACCAAAAATAAAAAATTTCAATTTAACTAATCTATACTACTTTAAAATGTCAAGATACATAAAAAACTTTATTTGTACACTTTTATGCTCCAAAATTTTAGAAACGCCAAGATCACCATTAGAATTAGAATATCAAACACTTGTGACATTGATTATATCAAATGGGTCATTAAATATTTCACAATAATTATTATTATATTTGATTAGTGTAGATATCTATCTATATGTACAAGTGTAATGAATAAATCTATATATATATATATATATATATATATATATATATATATCTATACTAAATATAAATTGAATTCTAAATGTTAGTTATCCTTCACAACTTTTGATTTTCTTTTTCTTTTAAATAATATAATTAGGTCATTTTTATCCATATTTTATATTCAATGAATATCATAGTCCTTATGTCTTCCCTATGTTACATAGCATGAAAAAAAAACCTCTCAATTCTGGCAATATATTGGTATCTCTTCCATATTCTCCTTCATTCTGCCAGCTCATAATTATTCGTGTAATGACAATCATATTATTTATGTCTTTTAATCTTCTTTTGTTATGAACTTAATTACGTGAATGAATAGATAATTAGCACTAATGCCTAGACAAACCTTTTCCTCTCCCATCCCAAGCTCTTCACGTTTTACCATTATTTTCTTTGGTTACCACTGCATGGATATTACGTTTGCCAACATCCTTCCTATGCAAGATAGTTTCGAGATCTTCAAAAGATAATGACAAATCTGATCAATTTGAACATTGACCAATAGAGCAATCGCAGACACAATCTAAAGCAACAAAGAGAGTAAAGATTGGTATGTACTTTGCAACATTGTGGGGGTTTGATGCGATCTTCAATATACACACAATCAAAAGGTCCGGAATTTTTCTCCTTATTCTATGATTAACCTCGACTCTTTTTCTCGCTGTTGGTTCTCTTATCATGTTCATTTCATGGGCTGCAAGGATTGTAGAAGTACTAAATTAAGATTTGATATTGAGTTCTGGAAAACCTTTTTTCCCAAGAAAAATCTTGGGGTTTAATATTTTTAGCATTTTTACTCTCTTGGTTTGCTTAATGTTGATATTTTTACGATTTTGGTTTGGTCTATTGTTTTATTTTTAAGCTTAACAACTGGATTTAGTGTGTTACATTATTGATATTTTGGTGTTTTTTTTTTCCCATAATGATGAGTATGCCAAATGTAGCGAATGGTGAGCATGCTTCCTATGTACTTGTTTCAAGGTTCCTCTTGGGTGATACATTTCCAATGCCAGTTTGCTTGTCCTTTCTATAGAATCATGGATAGGTGTGCCCTTCTAGCTATTACTGAGTTGAACTTGAGCATGACTGATAAATTTATTATGACTTTAACTTGGATTTTCTANATGAATATATATATATATATATATATATATATATATATATATATATATATATATATCTATACTAAATATAAATTGAATTCTAAATGTTAGTTATCCTTCACAACTTTTGATTTTCTTTTTCTTTTAAATAATATAATTAGGTCATTTTTATCCATATTTTATATTCAATGAATATCATAGTCCTTATGTCTTCCCTATGTTACATAGCATGAAAAAAAAACCTCTCAATTCTGGCAATATATTGGTATCTCTTCCATATTCTCCTTCATTCTGCCAGCTCATAATTATTCGTGTAATGACAATCATATTATTTATGTCTTTTAATCTTCTTTTGTTATGAACTTAATTACGTGAATGAATAGATAATTAGCACTAATGCCTAGACAAACCTTTTCCTCTCCCATCCCAAGCTCTTCACGTTTTACCATTATTTTCTTTGGTTACCACTGCATGGATATTACGTTTGCCAACATCCTTCCTATGCAAGATAGTTTCGAGATCTTCAAAAGATAATGACAAATCTGATCAATTTGAACATTGACCAATAGAGCAATCGCAGACACAATCTAAAGCAACAAAGAGAGTAAAGATTGGTATGTACTTTGCAACATTGTGGGGGTTTGATGCGATCTTCAATATACACACAATCAAAAGGTCCGGAATTTTTCTCCTTATTCTATGATTAACCTCGACTCTTTTTCTCGCTGTTGGTTCTCTTATCATGTTCATTTCATGGGCTGCAAGGATTGTAGAAGTACTAAATTAAGATTTGATATTGAGTTCTGGAAAACCTTTTTTCCCAAGAAAAATCTTGGGGTTTAATATTTTTAGCATTTTTACTCTCTTGGTTTGATTAATGTTGATATTTTTACGATTTTGGTTTGGTCTATTGTTTTATTTTTAAGCTTAACAACTGGATTTAGTGTGTTACATTATTGATATTTTGGTGTTTTTTTTTTCCCATAATGATGAGTATGCCAAATGTAGCGAATGGTGAGCATGCTTCCTATGTACTTGTTTCAAGGTTCCTCTTGGGTGATACATTTCCAATGCCAGTTTGCTTGTCCTTTCTATAGAATCATGGATAGGTGTGCCCTTCTAGCTATTACTGAGTTGAACTTGAGCATGACTGATAAATTTATTATGACTTTAACTTGGATTTTCTATTATAATATGATTTTATACATGGTTCGACTCAAACCCAAACCAAGAGCTTAACTCAAATGACAAATGGCCTTCCAAGTACTCCAAATTTTTATATTAAAGTAAGAATAACAATCCCATCTTTAGACACTGTCAGTATATGTGCATATCTGCTTAAAACTAAAAACAATTAAGATCATAAAATTATTGTAATGGTGCACTTCGACTGATTTGACAAGTGAAAGTGGATATGAATTAAATTTGAAAGTAATTTGTTTATAAAACTTTCATTAGATGAAATCTTTTATTTGTGATAACACTTATAATACTCATAAGATGAAATTATCTATGCTTAGGTATGTATATTAGTATAGTTAGACTATTCAGGTATATACTTAATGCATGTAATAAGAAATTTTCATTCATTTTGGCTTCCACCGATTAATTTTAGTAGTTATGGTTTGTGAAAGCTAAAGTAGTGTTTTTTGTCACAACTTTTATAGACAAGTTTCTTGACTTCATATGAGTTTCTACATCAAATAGGAGCGACACTCTCCATAATCGTTATTTTAACATAAAGTTTTATTAGTTTCTTAGCTAAACATCCAATATATATGTGTGTGTGTGTGTGTGTGTCCACATATTGCTAAAACCACTTAACAAAGAGAATATGTTGCTTATAGAGTTTGAAATTTGACAAATTCTTCAATTAACTAACAATGGGTTTAAGCATTTCTTAAGATTACAACTTTAAGTAGAGTACATCTATTAATTCCTTTGTACTATAATAATATATGTTTAACAAGAAATGCCCACAATTACTCTTATCCCAAATATGTAGAAAAGATAATGAAATAGTTACAATACATGTGCTTCAAGTGTAAACAGACTCATAGGAGTTGGTTTCAACTGATATAGAATATAGAGTTGATTAATTGTTTTTGAAAGTATTCCAAAACTTCAAAACACAAATATTTTATACTCAAAATAGTTCATTGCATGTGTGCACCCACTAGATAACATAAAAGCACGTGTCGTCTGGAGTTTAACAAAACTAACGATATTGAATACAAAATTACCATTGATTTATTATGAATTTCCAAAAAATTTCCTAAAACGGCAAAAACGGAGTTGTTAGGGCCTAAACAATGGAATTGGGCCCAAAACTGAAGGAACTCATGGTGAACAATACCACAGTCAGCCTACTCCAATTAATTTGCTGCCCACTGTTCTACATCTGTTAGTCATCCTACCTACCGATTTTCATATCTTCTCTTTTTACTTGAAAATAATAATATACTTCTCCAAGAACCATAGAAGAATGTATCCATGAATTGACGGTACTTAAAAAAGTTGACATTGACAAGCAATCTTCTACATCGCTACTTTGTATTAGCGCGGCATTTGGTGACAAAGGAGATAAAAGCAAGGAGAAAAGTGGAAAATGAATTTTACGAACCCAGCAGTTTCCAAATTTTGACTCACTCAACAATACATGGAGGATGAACATTATTTCCTTTTTAGATAGACTATAAACATTTCAAATGCATTCAATGTTAAACATGTACGAATAGTTTTACCTTTCTGAATCAAAATGCTGTATGTGGTAGGAATTCTATTTACGTGTTGAGCACTCCTGGTTACTATGTATTACATATCATATCTTCGAGAGGATAAATATTCTAGGCCAAAAAGGCCACTAAACAATTTGCTCTAGCTGTTCTCGAATGGATCGACTTGGCAAGAGACCTAACTCCAGATGTTATTTGCACAAGGTTGTTATCATCATTTCAAGTTCCCAACCTCTCTTTTGTCAACCCAACATAACATTTCAAAAGCATGAAGATGTACTATCTTTATACTATTGCTTGGCTCTCAATTGGGATCATCATTGGTCACACATGATAGCTGTAGATGCGTCTTTAGCATAATGCTTCCTAAGTTCGAATAAAATAGATAGGTTTGAACTTTGAAGTTATATGCATGCCAGAACGCAACAAAGAAGCTCAAAAAAAAGAAAAAAAAAAAGAAAGTTTGCTCCCTGTGAACAGTGAATACCAACAACAGTTCTTAGAATATTATTTAAATACACTGGGACACACCAAAACAAGGAACACGAGTATTTACAATGGAAAATAAAACAAAGGTAGAAGTGATCTAACACAATTCAAACTTTTAAAGATTCAGATAAAGGCACAGATGTTGACGGTGTAGCTGGAGATAAACTAGTAACAGTAATAAATCTGCCAACAAGCATGAAGTGAGAAGGTACTGATTGACCTTTGTAAAGAATTTCTGAGCATGACTCCTGATCTGCACAGCAGTCTTAGTTCCTATATGTTCTGTGCACCACAAAGACAACAAAAGAGAAGAGCAGGAACAGATCTCCAATTATGAGAATAATGTTAATAAGAAATAGAATATTGGAGGTTACTCCAAAAAGGAGATGGGCAATAGATTCATTCAGCCGATAAAACAAAAAACATGGATTTTGGATGGTAAAGGACAATAATAATCCCCGAACAATCAGTAATCTGAAATAAATTTACAGCTCTAAAGTAAAATAATAGACAAATAGATAGCTAGATGAAAATAAAATACGCTATTAAGCAACAAAAGAATGAGAAGTGAAGCAGAAGAAGTGGAACCTTCTATGCGCTGCCAAGCTCGGCCATAGAGTTTCAAGGCTTCTAGAAACCTATTATGCTCCTCCTCAGTCCATCGCTCGCGTTGCTTGGTGATTGTATATGGCTTCCTTGTCTGCCATAGAGGAAATTAATCACAGCTGAGAATTTGCTTCGTTCTAAACGATTCGACCATCACTCAGACTCAAAGAGACCGAGTTAAGGTTTAAAAAAATGGTGGAGAAAGACCAAAAATAAGAAGCTATATATGAAAATTCTATCTACACGTATATTAAAAATGACCTTAATGACCAGTTCGTTTCCAGAGGAGTAAAGGTCCATCTACTGGACCAGGGGGGCTGGCTAGCGCCGTTTCAAATCCTCACGGACGAGTAAGGGATGCAGCAGCACCCTTCTTTCATCTTCGAATAGACTAGTCGTGTTGGTCCACAAAACCTGATAAGGTAATACTACTAGTACTGCAAAAGAAGAGAAGAAAAAAAGTAACAACAAAAATCGATAGAGATTCGTCTCTGATTCCAAACTGTATCGAATGGATTATTCGCATGCACTTGATTAAAATCACAAAAAATAGTATAATCAAATCCTTCTTCAATTTTTTCCGTAATATATAATCAGAATCCACCGCCAACGGACAGAGATACACAAAGGGGAAGGAAAAATTCCTTATTCAGAATCCTCACCAAAACGAGCCCGTTGATGCCAAAACCTTTAAAATGTGAAAAAGAAGAAGAAGAAAAAAAAACAGAGAAGACAAAAAAAAAAAAAAAATCAATCAGTAAAACTAACAAGCGACTCATAAAGCCACCTGTCAACAGTTTCATCAGCAAGATTACACACACATATATAACCAGAAATCTGAACAGAAAACCCTACAAATCGAAAAAATATTACCTTCCGAAACATCCGTCGTTCAGCAAAACTCTTGGGGATCCGATTTGGTATCCGATCAAGTATGAGGCAAGTTCATCAGACAGACACTCGCCGGGAAACCCAAAGTTTCAGGCAATGGAGGATCGGAATTTGAGAAACTCGATCGGAAAGTGAAGTAGAAAAAAGACTGGACAGACTAATAAGACGACGGGAAATGGATAGACAGAGAGCAGAGAGTGATGAACAGCAGAGGAGAGGAGAACCGGGTTTGGGCAAAGGCCTAAAACAAGCGACTGTTCTCTGAGGAAAAATCTCAGCCACTATTATTTTGTTGTGGATATTTACTTAGAAAATGAGGGGAGTTTATTTGAGGCTGGAAAGGAAGGAAGGGTACCGATCAGAGAGACAATGGAAGGTGTAGAGAAAGAGGATGATGCCATGTGGCGTAGGATTAGTGGCCGATTCGCAAATCCCCACCTTGCACTTTTTTGACGGAGGAGAGAGAAAGCTGCTTGCGTTGTTTGCCGTATATTTGCCTCCCCTTGTTCAGATTAAATCTCCACCACATCCTCAGAGGTGAGTGCCCCGTAAAAAGGCACCACCAGCTATACCTTGTGGGACCCACAGCCTTACGTGGTGGTGTTATAGTATTTCCAGAACACACGGTCGTGTGATGTTGAAGGACACGTCGCCCAACTCTCAACCCAACGCAATGCAGAGGATCCGAATCCTCTCCATATCAAAAACCTCCAATTCAAATCACATATCGTTCGTTACTCAACATGGAGCCGGAACACACATTGTCAGCAGATCAGTCAGTATAGGAGAACATAACCGTGGCTAATAGGGGTATTCAAATTTTAGATTGTCTGTAAATTTTGATTTTATTTTANGCAGATCAGTCAGTATAGGAGAACATAACCGTGGCTAATAGGGGTATTCAAATTTTCGATTGTCTGTAAATTTTTATTTTATTTGATCTTATTGATCGATTATTCGAAAGAATTAAGTATGCCAACAAAATTTTTTTAATATTCTGTAAAAAATTAGGTATAAATACAGAATATCAACAAAATTTTCGTATTCTAATCCTATTCTATCCACATACATATATATATTCCCTAAAAATTAAAATATAAAAATATAAAAACTCTAATGTTTTATTGATGTTTATGACTTTGTTATATATGATGTATTAATGTTTAAGACTTTTTTATTTTGTTTTATTGCAATTGTATATATGTTATCGAATTTATTACGTTTTTGTTAGTTTTATTAGCTTATTGTGTTAGTTAATTGATGCATGTTATTTAATTAAATTATTAAAATAATCAAAAAATTAAAAACTAAAAAAGTGTGTTCACCCAATTTCATACTCGATTTCCTAGTTAATTGTTTTAAATGAAATTTGGACAAGAATAGTACACGTGCACGACAAGCACACACTATGGATCAAAAATATTTTATTTACACTTAATTTATTGATGTATTATAATTATTAAATTAATCATGAATTTTATTCAATACTAAGACACAATACATTGTTCTCAAATTAAATTTAAATAACATGATTCTATGATGAAGTGAGTCTAAAGTTGTCTCTAAATAACAAGAAGCAAAGATTTATTGCATCTAAATGAGTCTCTCACCACTAGATAGAATTTAATTTAGCATTCAGGTAATATAAATGAATTAGAAATTGTTTACTTTTGAAGACACTATATAACTTTAAAAAATCGCAAAATACCCACTTGCATCCAATTTGTTGTATAGTAGTTAATGGTCATTTGGTGAGAAATGAAATGAGACCTAAGAGTATCCTATTCGTCCTAATTTTGTTGTTTCTTACAATTCTCTATCGTAGATTTATCACATATAGCAAACTTCTTAAACTTTTAAACAAATCCAAATACTAGTTTTCAAACAAACTTCAACAATCAAATTTTTTTTGGGGGGATAGGGTTTGGAGAGAGAAGGGGAAGGGGAAGGGAAAGGCGGACTTGAACCTTTGACATGAAGAAGACAAAGTATTTATAAGACAAGGAGTACCATTGAATCAAAAACCCATTGAATTAAATAATCTCAAGCAATCTCTCTAATTCAACCCATTTAAAATCTAAGCAATTTGATATTATTTGTGATCCATTTGGATAACAATTGTGGGATATTTAACAAAAATCAGATCCAACATGGAACGTCCTTCCATGTTGGATCTGACCTATCAATTCGACTACCTTGAAAGTTCCTTCCCAACCATCTCCGAAGGACATGTTCTTTTTTTTTGGCATATTATTTTTTTTGACTTTGTCCAAGATCTCAGAGTAATGGTCGCATACAACATTCTTCATTTGTTTTTCTATCTTAGTGTTCTCCTCTTAGCCTAGCTAATTCCTCTTGAAGTTCGCCAGCTTGAATCTTTACCTTAATAACCTTTTTCTTTAGGAAGTCATTCTCCGCTTTGGAATTCATAAGTTATTTTTCAAGCATGTCTGCCTTGACCCTATCAAATTTGATTGGACTCTCGAGCAATTCTTATCGCTCAACTAACTCATGAGTAATGTAAGTCAGGCCCTGTACAAGCAATAATGAGTGCTTCTACTTTCCTTCTGTCAGCCAATCTCTACCCTATAAACCAAGTGAAGGAATACAAAGGGAAATAACTAAAGAGAAGAAGAGAGAGACAAAACTTAAAACTTTAATCCGTTAGGTAATAAAGGCCCAAAAAACCCTAAGTCCTCCGAAAACATACTTTAATTAACTTCATTCATTAAATTAGGTACAAGGATAATTGTGAGACACCAACTCAAGTACTGCCGATCGGCACCCACCTTGGGAGGACCATGTTGATCGACACTCACCTTTCGAATTCACTTTGATTCGGCCACCTTATCTCCAATCAAACTACTATTATTTCTCTTGCTCACTTACGTCTTCATCGGTTTACATAGACATTCTTTTATCTTATGGGTTACTCAAGATTTTCTCAGTGTTCGTAAGAGATGGTGACTTATAGTGTAAAATTCTACCTACACAATAGTTTTTATAAGTTTTTAGTAGGGGGTAAAATTGTCATTAATATAAAAACATTCCATGACGGTTTCATTTTTTAAAGTTGTCAGTAGGGTACTAGTAAAACTAAAAAGTGGAAGTGTGGGTGAATGAAGTCATATTTTCGAAAATTAAGGAAATTTTCTTGAGATAATATCAAATAAGGGACACCAGTGACATTCACCTTAATTGTATGTTATACAATACAAAATACAAAATCCAAAAAGAAAAAATACTTATAAAATACATGTCTGCCATGTATATTGTTGAAAAAAAAGCAGAATAAGGACCTCCTGTCAAACTAAGTTTTGATTTTAGCTGCAATCCTGTGGGAAACTAGGGATAGACTTTAGGCTCTCAATTTGTCTCGCAGTCTTGTTTTCTTTGCTACATATTTTTTTTTGTTTTTTTTATATATATGTTCTTAGTCAATTTTGGACTAAAGATATTCTGATTGTCTTATATTTTTTTATATCAAATGCCTTTCTTCTGTCATCTCTAGTCTACATCTTTTTACAAAGAACTATTGATCTGTCAGGAGAGGAAGTGGTGGTAACCCACCACAGCTTCGTTTATGAGATGTGCCATGCAAAATTTTCCAAGTTTAGAGAACATAATGTGTCGTGCCACTATCAAAAACCTCTTTACTTTGGCAATTAAGCCAGACTAATCGGTGCTGTTTGGTTTTGTTCGATCAAATTGACCATGTTTGGTTGGGGATTCTTTATATTGGTTTGGAAACTCACCCAAATTAGAGGGGATTTCTTGGTACAAATCACCAGTGGCCAGCTTTTTCTTGGGCCAAGACAAATTCAAATATCATTCAATTGGACAACCACAGTAGCTGAAGTGCGTCAAATACCAGTCACCCACCACCCACCATTCGTCTATTTGTAGCATAAATATCTCCAATTTCGCTCCCCTCAGGGCAGGGCCGGGCCGGGCCTGAACACTGAAATTAAGTCGACACTGCTAACAAGATGGAGACTTCACAGCTAAAAAGTGGCCCAGAACAGGCTACGATGAGAAGGAATAAGAAGAAGAGAACTGCTCGTATGCGTTGCAACTGGCGAACTCGTTAGCGCTGCCCATGGTGTTGCACGCAGCCAACCAGCTCGACGTGCTGAGATCATTGCAGGAGCAGGCTCAGGTGCCCAACTCTCTGCTTCAGAGATCGCTTCCAGCATGCCTGCAGCAGCTAAGAATCCCGACGCACCGCTCATGCTGGATCGGATGCTTCGACTCCTAGCCACCCATTCTCTGCTCACTTTCTCCGTCGTTGATGGCGGTGCTCATAGGCTGTACGGACTGGCTCTTGTCGCCAAATACTTTGTTCGTAAACAAGACGGAGTATCATTCGCTCCCTTGATGGCCTTGCTTCAAGACAAAGTCTTCATGGACAGCTGGTGGGTTTGTCAATTCTCTCTCATCCATTCCCCAGATGAATTTCTCTTCTTTTTGCCGCTGATATACTACATGTATTTAATTTAATTTGGGTATCTAATGCATTTGTGTATTTGGATTGATTGTGGATCTCATTCAATGCTATTAAGTGAGTCTGCAAATTAGATTCCAAATAAGCAATTAATGGTCGTATTCAAATTACTTACACTCACTCCCAGATACGAACTGAAAGATGCAGTTCTTGAAGGTGGCGTTCCATTTGACAGGGTCCATGGAACGCATGTATTTGATTACCCCGGCAAGGACCCAAGGTTCAATGAGGTTTTCAATAAGGCAATGATCAACCACACTACTATAGTCGTCAAGAAAATCCTTGATTGCTACCGGGGCTTCTAGCACCTTGAGCAATTACTTGATGTTGGTGGTGGTCTGGGAGTCACCCTCAACATGATTACATCTAAATACCCCTCTATTAAGGGCTTTAATTTTGACTTGCACATGTTATACAAGACGCCCCTGCCTATCCTGCTATGATATCATTTTACGTATTCTCTTGTTTCTGATAGATTAATGATTTCATCTCACGAAATCCATTGTGTGCATTTCAATATTGAATTTAAATGAAAGCAACTCGTTTTCAATCTTTGTGGCATTTGTATGCAAAAGCACACTGTTTGTAGATTAAGTCATCACGCGAAAAACAAAGCGAGTTCCAAGATTGTTCTTTTCAAGTGTACATCCTGTTATGTCGCAAATTTTCGGCCACACTCTAAAATGTAAACTGAGCCCTTAATGCAGGAGTGGAACATGCTGGGGGAGATATGTTTGAAAGCGTTCCAAAAGGAGATGCCATATTTATGAAGGTTAGTTCAAATCTTGCTAGAACACATGCTGTCAAAGGATATTTTATATATACGCCTTTTACGAACACTAATATACAAATATTGGTCATGCTAAAGTATATGGTAAATTATAGAAGCTATCCTTGAGATTAAGTAAAATGCATTTCGTTTCTTGAGATTTGAAAAATTATTATCCCCGCTTGTAAACAAAACGCAACATCTCCCGTCATGCCCCCTCCCAAGAATTAACCCTTGTCAGTGCTCCTCTGAGTGAGACACCCTCTCCCTCTTTGCACACATATGCACCAGGGAAAGAGGGAAAATGTATGCACACGCACACGCTTACACATTTATATTTTCCATTTCAAAGGGTAATTTGTGTAATTTCAAACCAATAGGGTGGTGTGCATTAAATTTTTAAATTTTATTCATTACTGAATTTCTTTGATCTTATGCAAGTTAATTTGCTAGAGGTATTTTAAAAAGAAAATGGCAAGCTGATAAACATTTTCCTTGGAGATATGAAAGTGAACATAATAACAAGATGTATGTGGGGATGAAGGGAGTGTCTAGCGTTAAAAAAAGAAGTGTCTAGCATTGCTCCTGTATCACTATAACCATTTTATTTAATTTTTTTGGTATGCCTGAGATGCTATCCAGGGTGTGAAGTTTTGTCCATTTAATATGCATTCACCTTACTCGCTGACAACATTTGATAGTGGATACTTCATGATTGGAGTGACAATCACTGCTTGAAGTTGCTATAGAAGTGTTGTATTTAATATATATTTCAAAATATAATATATATTTATTTAATTTTAACATATATGTGTATAGGAATATAAGTTTAAAAAAAAAATATTTTATTTAAAATTATTTTTAGACCTATTGGATGATCTCAACAGTACACGTTGTGACCATTTGTTTTATCACTTATATTGCATTAATTTATTATATTACATCAGAATTGTAATTTCAAAGTCTATAACCGTTGGTTAATAATTGTTGAATTTTGTAATTAACCGTTAGTGTTTGTTTGCAAACTGTTGCAATAGGTCAAAGAAGGTTCAAGTGTTTGAATTTTTTTAATGCATTTTCAAGTGCCTGCCAATATATTATATTATAACTAAGGAAAGTTTCAGACCGTTACACCTAAATTTCAATCTGTTGCACCTAAATTTCAATTTATTGCGACCTGTTCACCTAGCTTTCAAACTATTGTACTCNAATATATTATATTATAACTAAGGAAAGTTTCAGACCGTTACACCTAAATTTCAATCCGTTGCACCTAAATTTCAATTTATTGCGACCTGTTCACCTAGCTTTCAAACTATTGTACCCTATTCATTGTATCCGTTGGATGGATATTTAAAGCAATGATGAATGGCTGCTTTGAGAGATAGATCTTTAGATAGAAAAGGAAACAAAAAGAAGAACCAGATAAAAGAATAACTGGGAGGCAACTTTCTGTTAAAAGGAAAAAAAAAAAACCTTTGATCAGTGGGTTTTACATATAGTAGATTTCGCGATTAGTATGCCAACTTGTTGCTACCAATGTCCTGATATACCAATAAATATATTATTATTTATATTACTTTGATTTGAAAACAATCAAGAGTTATTCGAGATACCTCTACAGTTGCGAGTGCACGCTTGTGGAGAAGCGATAGTTGAATCCTGAAGGATAAGACGCCATAACCTATTGCACCGTGTTCATACTCAGAGGGGCGAAAATCTATTCTTAAGGACAGTGACTACACGCCTCTATCGATAAGTTTTCTCGTTTTGTTTATCATCTGATTTTTAGCATTCTTCGATTGATATTTCTGCAACAAGAACTGCTACAAAGCTCTACCAGACAATGGAAAGGTAATTGTTGTCGAGGCAATCCTACCGGTGACACCCGATAGTAGTGCCTCTGTAAAAAGCACTAACCCAATTGATCTGGTCTTGATGACTCAAAATCAAGGAGGAAAGGAGCGAACAGAGCATGAGTTTCTGGCCTTGGCAGCAGGGGCTGGATTTAAAGGCATAAGCTTGGAATGTTTTGCCTGTAAGTTTTGGGTCATTGAATTTTACAAGTAGATAGCTGGGTCAAGGTGTGCCCTCCTGTTAGAATGCATATCGTGTATTAAGTGCTTTCAGCATAAGGATGTACACACTAGTTTGATCCTATTCTATGCTTTGATGAACTAGCGAGGTTTGTGCCAAGAGCAATGTTATATGGACTTAAAAAGTAAACTTGATAATCTTAATCATTGATTTTACCGTGGGTCTCAACATTTATTAGAACTCACTATCTATTCAATGGTTGAGATTATCAAGTCTAATTTTTAAATTTAGTTTTTAAGTCTATCTAACATTACTTTTGTGCCAAACCCCCAGCCCGAGCTGACTGTGATGTGGTTCACTTATGTTCTTCTTATTATTATTTTTTAAGCAATGTTATTGGAACCTAATTCACTGACCCAATTTACTGACTCAATTTACTATGACATTTGAATTGATTATGATATTCATCAAACATTAAAACTTGGCGTTGATCCAATGATTCTGCTGAAACCACATCATTATGTCAACAAATTAGATCAAATTTTTAAATCTAAATAGTATTACTCTTATTTTTTATTTTGCTTCATTTATTCATGTTCTTCCTTTAGCTTTTAGTATCTCCAGCCCTTCTTTCTGTTTTTCCAAACCCCAAAATACCATTTCTTGGTCATTCATTTCTTTTTGTTAACAGTTCTATGCCAGATCCAAACACCTTCTATTTATAGTTTGATGATACTATAAAAGAAAAGTGAGAGAAACTTTTTAATTCCATACTACTCCCTCCGTTCCTAAATATTTGTTATTTTACATATTTTTTTTTTCATAATATCTGTCATTTAATGAAACCAAAACATCATTAATAATTTTTTTTTCATATTTACCCTTAACTTTTCAATGCATTAGATTTGGTGGAGGTTAAGTGTCTTTCATTTTTCTTTTCTTTCTAATACGTATTGAATAAGAGTGTTTTAGTCTTGTGCAATTATTTTTTACTCATATTAGAGTTATTTAATAGCTTCCTTAATCCTTGTGTAAAAATTTTAAACGACAAATAATTAGGAACGGAGGGAGTACTATCTTACCTAGGCAATTGTGCAATAGAGTAAGTTTTAAATACAACATTCAAATATAGTAGGAAAGTTTTTTATTATCTGCTCTCAATATACGTAAGAGTGCAAAGTTGCAGAGCGCTTGAATATATATACTGATTGTTCAAGCACATTGAACTAACAGAAGACTTGTGATCGAGGGCAGTGCTTAGACTTAAGAAAAGGGAATATAATATGTAAAATAATGTATCAACAATACGGTTCATAACATGGGTTTTACTCTGGTTAGAGGTTTGTGCTACCTGAAATAAGCATGATCACAGTGCAATAACTGCAAAATATTTGCATTCATGGCCTGAACTTTGACCTTTTCTCAGCAGCATTTCTAGTTAATTTCCTTTTTGCTGGTCCCAATTATATCACCATACACGCCTTTGACTTTTTCTATCAATGCGTCCCTGGAAATATGATGAATCAAATTAAAATTTCTATGGAAAGATTCTATAAAGAAGTCAATAGAATTCAGTCAACTAATAAAAATTTCTGTGGAAAGACTTCTGCCAAGGGATTTGACAGAATTCAATCACAGTGTTCTTGTAAGCTCTCTGGCCAAGTGTCCGTAAGAATAACCGAAGCTTACCTGTCTGGTTTTAAAATCAGGTTTCTGTATGCAAACCACTGCAAGAAACGGAAAGACATAAGAGGATGTGTAAGTAGGCTGTCCAACTACAAGATGCATAGAGTAGAGACGCAGATATTTTTGACACTTTTCTTACTTAGTAAAACTCGAGCTGTGTCCAATATACCAGGTCATTAAACAAATGGTGTTAATTCCAAAAGTTCACTTGTGATTTACTTATCAGTTTTTATGAATTGAAAGCACAACAGTGAACGAAACACAACTTACACCAGTGTAACCAATGCCAACGAGCTCAAGAACACCAGGAACCAACGGAAGCCTGTCAATTGCCTGTTTCAAGCCATACCCCATTCCTCAAAAAAAATATTTTCACTCTTTCAATTATCATGTGACTAAATTAATGATACACATTGCAGGGACATAATACAGATCGGGATTCAATTACACAAAAGAACGTAGTGATTGTTTGAAAAAATGCTTTTGACAAAGTGTATTTAAGTAATTTTGAGTTTGCATTAAAGTGGGATCCACATCTTGAAATTAGTGGAATCAAGTTTAAACGGATTCTCCTCCATGAGGTAATTAACGTGGTATATTTATTTGTCTAAAATCATTAAAATTTGAATGAGAAATTATGTCTCAAAATTAGATAAAATAAAATAAAGTTGGTGTAATGGAGTAAGGCTTGTTCCACGTTGGAAAAATACTTTGGTGAGTTAATATGCTTTTAATTGGTTTCATGGGTTGGGCTCTAAGGAATAACACACTTTTGTGAGTGGAGCAAGCGTCTACACTATTTTGGTTACCACACATGCATGCCTTGAACAAAATTCAATTTTGGTGGTGTTTTTGTTCCTATCTGTTCGCCTTGAAGTGCCTTTCCATTTGCTATTGTTCAGATCAAAGGGTTTGTCCCTTCAATTCGAACAGGTACTGGTGTATTCTTTCAGCGATCCAAACAGACACGAGGAATCTATACATAGATTGCCTTTCTGTAATTTTCAGGTACAAATTTTACAGACGAATTTTTACATATTGGTGCATTATCTCTTTACTTCTGCATTCTGTTCATTGTTCGATTTAGGTACAAATATAAGTTGTGTTCGCTAGTCTTTGGAGATTGAAATGCTACCTTTGCAAAGACGAANATATGATGAATCAAATTAAAATTTCTATGGAAAGATTCTATAAAGAAGTCAATAGAATTCAGTCAACTAATAAAAATTTCTGTGGAAAGACTTCTGCCAAGGGATTTGACAGAATTCAATCACAGTGTTCTTGTAAGCTCTCTGGCCAAGTGTCCGTAAGAATAACCGAAGCTTACCTGTCTGGTTTTAAAATCAGGTTTCTGTATGCAAACCACTGCAAGAAACGGAAAGACATAAGAGGATGTGTAAGTAGGCTGTCCAACTACAAGATGCATAGAGTAGAGACGCAGATATTTTTGACACTTTTCTTACTTAGTAAAACTCGAGCTGTGTCCAATATACCAGGTCATTAAACAAATGGTGTTAATTCCAAAAGTTCACTTGTGATTTACTTATCAGTTTTTATGAATTGAAAGCACAACAGTGAACGAAACACAACTTACACCAGTGTAACCAATGCCAACGAGCTCAAGAACACCAGGAACCAACGGAAGCCTGTCAATTGCCTGTTTCAAGCCATACCCCATTCCTCAAAAAAAATATTTTCACTCTTTCAATTATCATGTGACTAAATTAATGATACACATTGCAGGGACATAATACAGATCGGGATTCAATTACACAAAAGAACGTAGTGATTGTTTGAAAAAATGCTTTTGACAAAGTGTATTTAAGTAATTTTGAGTTTGCATTAAAGTGGGATCCACATCTTGAAATTAGTGGAATCAAGTTTAAACGGATTCTCCTCCGTGAGGTGATTAACGTGGTATATTTATNAAAGTGGGATCCACATCTTGAAATTAGTGGAATCAAGTTTAAACGGATTCTCCTCCATGAGGTAATTAACGTGGTATATTTATTTGTCTAAAATCATTAAAATTTGAATGAGAAATTATGTCTCAAAATTAGATAAAATAAAATAAAGTTGGTGTAATGGAGTAAGGCTTGTTCCACGTTGGAAAAATACTTTGGTGAGTTAATATGCTTTTAATTGGTTTCATGGGTTGGGCTCTAAGGAATAACACACTTTTGTGAGTGGAGCAAGCGTCTACACTATTTTGGTTACCACACATGCATGCCTTGAACAAAATTCAATTTTGGTGGTGTTTTTGTTCCTATCTGTTCGCCTTGAAGTGCCTTTCCATTTGCTATTGTTCAGATCAAAGGGTTTGTCCCTTCAATTCGAACAGGTACTGGTGTATTCTTTCAGCGATCCAAACAGACACGAGGAATCTATACATAGATTGCCTTTCTGTAATTTTCAGATACAAATTTTACAGACGAATTTTTACATATTGGTGCATTATCTCTTTATTTCTGCATTCTGTTTATTGTTCGATTTAGGTACAAATATAAGTTGTGTTCGCTAGTCTTTGGAGATTGAAATGCTATCTCTGCAAAGACGGANTGTTCATTGTTCGATTTAGGTACAAATATAAGTTGTGTTCGCTAGTCTTTGGAGATTGAAATGCTACCTTTGCAAAGACGAAATTCGTTATATCTTGGGAGATAGTTGTTGATCAACCTTGAGTACCGAAAGAGAATAAATATGTTTTAAAGAAATTGTGATTACACAAGGCTTGGATTGCATTTTTTGATTTTCTGTTAGTGCACATCTGTGCAGTACACAGTAAATAGATATAAGCTAAGTTTTGATTAAATTGCATAACAGTATACTGATATAAGTTCAGTTCTATTTTTGCATGATTTAGATTTAAAGCACTATAGTATAATCTACTTATATACACACTTTCTTCAACAGTGATCAACACAATGATTTAATGCGGAGACTCACCGAGATCAGTCCAGCAGAACCCCACAGAGCAACCACGCCAGCTGCTACAAGAGAAGTCACTGCATACTTGTCTTCAACTTTATCCCACTGTATTTACCAAAAAAAAAAAAAGAAGAGGAGCCCAAACATTCGGTTACTGCAGTAGAAGGAAGGAAGGGCCGATTAGGACAAAATAAATGCTTACGGTTTCTTGTAGTGTTTTGAAAATTTCAGGCAGCTCAGTTGCTGCAACTTCAGCTGGAGCCTCTCCGGTAGCCATGGCAACAACATTGCGGGTGATCTTTCGACCTGAAACCACAAGATCAGTGACTAGATAGTTGTACATCGATATCTATGGCTTAAAATATGGTTATGGTGTAAACAATTGATGATGATGTTTATGTACGTACAATAGGCAGTGGTCTTCCAGGCACGGTTCTGAGACTGCACCGGTGGCAGAGGAAGTGTGGGAAGGGTTACACATTGTGAGGAGGCAGAGGCTGATTGGCGAGAAGCCTTTCCGTCAATGAGGGTGGAAGAGGAAGAGATTGAAAGTGGGGTGGAGGAGGTGGTTGAGGCCATTCCTAGCTACTTGTGAATCCCTTTATCAGAGAGAGAGAGAGAGAGAGAGAGAGAGAGAGAGAATATGGGGAGTTTTGATTTATTCCGATCTAAATTTCTTAAGCTTTTCGTCTGTTCTACTGTGAAAGGTCCGATATTTTTTTTCTCACTAGAACGAATGTGGATTGTGGTGGGGAGATGGACGACCACTCATTCCTCCATTTGGATATATGGATAGGCATTTTATGGTGCTTCGTTGGATAGGCATTTTATGGTGTTTCTTTATCATCTACATATATACATGCCATTGGATATAATACATAAGAGGAGTGCTATTCAAACTTAATTTTATTCACCTAATTCGTCACAATACTTAGATTAATTGTGGGTTCATTAAACATTAAAATTTAGTATTAGTTCAATAGTTACAATGAAATTACATCATTAGATTAACAAATTATGTTAAATTTATAAATACAAATAACATTATTCAATACTTATTCACATATTTGGATTTTTTCCACAAGTTTAAATCTTAAAGCGTGGTGGGTTAGAGGGGAGGTATACTTTAATTAAAGTATAATAATGTCACTTTCACATAATTAATTGACTTAATTTATTAACCTAATCATTTATAAATATAAAATTGACGGTGAGCCTTAATATTTATTAGGACACACAATTAGTCTAATGATTGTGATGAATTAAATCAATATGTTATATTAGTAAATTAAATTTAAATAACATTATTGATTGAAGTATATTCCAATTTACACCTACTAAAATATATTTTCATGCATCTATTCGGTTAGTATGAAAAAGTTTTAAAAAAATTTCATTATATTATTTGAAAGAAATCAAAGTTACAAGATTTTTTTTATTTGTTTAAATTATTCTTAATTATATTAAATAGGTCTAAAGAAGAAAAATATATGTATTATAATTGAAAGTTAAATTTTTTTTTATAAAAAAAGTGGCTCTTACCCTAATTATGGAACAAGTATCGGTACGATCTATGAAGATCTCTGGGTCAAATTATACGGTTAACCAGATCAATATTAAGATTTTTTAAAATTAAGAACTAATAAAATATTTTAAGAAAAATAAAAGTAAAATGAGAAGTTAGTTATGGATTACAATTTTTTGTATTTTTTATAAGAAAAAAAAAAGTTATATAATATTGAGAAATCTACGTATGAAAAAAATATATTTTTTCTATTTCATGCTAATCAAAAACATGAAAATTTTAAATTTTTTATATTTTCTACCATTATTTCATTAAACAAAAAGTCCCTGTGTTGATATCGTTGAACAAGTTAAAAGCCCTACTACATAGGGCGGCTAGAGAATTATTTTTGTAAGTTCAGAATCTGATTAACTTAAAAAAATGAAAATATTTGCGCGAGACAATAGAGAAAGCTTTAAGATACGCTAGAGAATTATTTTTGTTAAAACAATATCTACCTCACCAATTTTGAAAATCAAAGTATACAAACTTACAACAAATTCTGCTCCAACATAAAATAAAGTCAATAATTAATTTAGGATTAATTATATGGGAGATTCCCAAAGTATGAAATTTGTCTCATATTGGTCCTAATGTTATAATTGCATCATTTTGGTTGCTAAATTATTAAATATCTATATAATAAATAATAAAATACCTTACAATTTAAATCTCAAAAGATAAACAAAATAATTTTTCCTAGTCGTGGTTGAGATCGTTTTAAATTTTACTTTAAAATTAATCTAATGGTTAATATTAACACCCTAAATTTAATAGAAAAAATAACCCCCCTAAGAGTGTGTTTAGAGTGACTTTTCTAAAACTACTTTTATAAATTATTTTTTTAAAAAAAAGTGTTTGAAACCGTCCTATCACCACCGCCACCACTATCGTCGTCGTCGTCGTCATCGTCATCATCACCACGATCATTGTCATCTACCACAATTATCACCGTCTCCCACTCCCCACCCCCAGCTATCCGCCAAAGCCACCACCGTCGTTGTTACCGTCGTCGCCATCACCACCACCACCACTGTCGCCGCCATCCCCCACCCAATGTGGTGGCAGCAGCTGTAGTGAGGGTGGGGGGTGCAGCAACAGTGGTGGTGGTGGTGGCAACGACGACGATTGTGGTGGTGGTGGTGATGGCGGCGGTGTGGCAGTGGCGATAATGGAAGTGGTGGTGGTGGCAGTGGCGGTAGTGGTGAGGCGGTTTCAAAAATTATTTTTTTTTTAAAAGTATTTTTGAAAAATAATTTCTAGAACTACTTTTAAAAAGTCACTTCAAATACACCTTAAAGACTTATTTTTTTAATATATTTAGGGTGTTAATATTAGCTGTTAGATTAACTTTAAAGTAATATGTAAAGCAGTCTCAATCGCGAATAAAAAAAATTATTTTGTTTATCTTTTGAAATTTGAATTGCATGCGACTTTATTATGTAAACTAGTTATTGTTTGTATCTGAAGGTACAAAGTAATAAAAAATGATAAACAATAAATATATTTGTATTCATATCTAAAATCAAATTATAAATATAGAGGAGAAATAAATGAATTTAAACATTAGTTATAATGAGGGTGAGAGGTGATAGGAGACGATAATGGTTGTAGTGGGTGACAATGACGGTGGTTGTGGCAGCAACAGCGGTGTTGGTGGTAGTGATAGCGACAGTGACGGTGGTGGGGACGTCGACGACGGTGGAAGTGGTGATGATGGTGGCGGTAGTGGTGGTTACAGCGGCGGCGACTGTGACGACAACAGTGGCGGTGGGGGCGATGGTGGTGGTGGTGGCGGTGAAGTGATTTCACACACTATTTTTTTTAAAGTATTTATGAGAAATAATTCTTAGAAATACTTTTAAAAAGTAACTCCAAACATATCCTTAGGGCCCTATTTTTCCTATTAAATTTAGGTTATTAATATTAACCGTTAGATTAACTTTAAAATAAAATTTAAAGTGATTTGAACCGCGAAAAACAAAAGTCATTTTATTTATCTTTTAAAATTTGAATTATAAGCTACTTTATTATATAAACTAATTATTGTTTGTGCCTGAAGACACAGAATAATAAAAAATAAAAAATAATAAACATATTTGTATTCATATTGAAAATCAAATCACAAATATAGAAAAGAGATAAACAAATTTAAATATCAATTTGTAGTGCGGGGTGAACGGTGGTGACGGTGGGGGCGACGATGGTGATGGCGATAGTGGTGGAGGTGGTAG